CGCAAAGCTCGATAACCTACTGTCTGTCGCCGGCAACGGGTCCCATCGGCATAACTGGCAGAATTGCCGGTAGCGCTGTTCTCCACAACGGTATGCTGCTCTGATAGAATTGCCGGTGGCAATCGTGCACGTTGCCCCGCTGTAGCCACTGTCACATTAGCTGTCATTAATGATTCATGTCTCGTTGATATGGAGACGAGGCAAGGAAATAGAAAGGCAGATAGACACAGAAACAGACAGAAAAGCAGACAAACAGACACAAAACAGACAGACAGACAAACACACAAACAGACAGAGGATTCAGGGTCAGCCGGGTAGACACTGCCGAAGCAGAATGTTGGCGGAGCCAAGTATCTACAAGAGTCTGCGTCCGAGGGACGGCGACCGAGGGCCCTGAGTAAAGAGAGGGGTCACTGCCAGAGCAGGATCTTGGCAGGGCCACGAGAGAGGTCAGACAAGAGTAGTACGTAGACACTGCCGGAGCAGAATGTTGGCGGAGCCAAGTATCTACGAGAGAGGATTCAGGGTCGGCCGGGTAGACACTGCCGAAGCAGAATGTTGGCGGAGCCAAGTATCTACAAGAGTCTGCGTCCGAGGGACGGCGATCGAGGGCCCTGAGTAGCCGGAAATGAGCGTGGCCAACACCGCGTTTATTCACTTTATCAAAGCAAATTAGTGATGAGAAATGGGAGGTGGGAGGGTGAAATACTACGAGCAAGCAAGAATGATCGTCGCACAGAACGGATCGAAAATATATAGCAGAGCAAACTCTAGCAAGACATGCAATGATGCATGCCACCCACGTTGAGCTACAAGCAAGCGTCATCATAACGTAGCCAAACCCACCCACGTTGAGCTACAAGCAATCCCCACCATAACGCCACGCATCGGAGGCGAGAGACACGCATGAACGCCACGTAAAGAGACACGTTCAATGTCACGTAGAGCGATGCATTCAATATCATGCAGAGTGCCAAGCCGCACAGAGACCATAGCCAGCAGCAAAGCGTGAGCATGCAGTAACAGCACTATCAAACATAGCAGCATAGATTGAGTGGCAGCACAAAGCTGCGTGCACACATTAATCTGCATTATCACCATAATGCTACACACACACACACACACACACACACACACACACACACACACACACACACACACACACACACACACACACGTAGCACATACACACACACACACACAGCACACACACACAGAACACACACACACACAGAACACACACACACACAGCACACACACACAGCCCACAGCACACACACACAGCACACAGCACACACACACCTACACACACACACACTCGCACACACACACACACACACACACACACACAGCACACACACACACGCAGCACACACACACACGCATACGCAGCACACACACACACACAGCACACACACACACGCAGCACACACACACACACACACACATGCAGCTCACACACACACACACACACACACACACAGGCAGGACACACACATACAGCACACACACAGCACACACACACACACACACACACACACACACACACACACACACACACACACAGCACACACACACACACAGCACACGCCCAGGACACACACACACACACATACACACACACAGCACACACACACACACGCAGCACACACACACGCTCAGCACACACACGCAGGACACACGCACACGCAGCACAAAAACAGCACACGCCCAGCACACACACAGCACACGCCCAGCACACACACACGCAGCACACACAGCAAACACACACAGCACACACACACACGCACACACACACAGCACACACAGCACACACACACACACGCAGCACACACACACGCATCACACACACACACACACACACACACACACACACACACACACACACACACACACACACACACACACACACACACACATTAACTACAACACACAGCAGCTTGCGGTTAGGAGGGTGCTGGCCAGCGAAGTGAGAGGCTACAGAGAGAGCAGGATCTTGGCGGAGCCAAGAGGATAGTCACGTCCAAGGGACGAAGACCGAGAGCCCTGAGTAGCCGGAAATGAGCATGGCCAACACCCCTTTATTTACTTTATCAAAGTAAATGAGAGATGAGAAATGGGAGGTGGGTGGGTGAAACACAATGATCTGACAAGAGTGATCCGCACACAGAACGAATCGAAATATATAACACTACGAGCAAGGAAGAATGATCGTCGCACAGAACGAATCGAAAATATATAGCAGAGCAAACTCTAGCAAGACATGCACCGATGCATGCCACCCACGTTGAGTTACAAGCAAGCGCCATTATAACACCGCCAAACCCACCCACGTTAAGTTACGAGCAAGCGTTATCATAACGCCGCCACACGCCTTCCACATCGGAGGCGAGCGACACGCATGAATGCCAAACTTTAGTATGACACGTTGAGTGCCTACGACGCATGCCGCCTACGTTGAGCGTCGCGCATGAATGAATGTCGCGTTGAGTGTCACGTTGTATGACACATAGAATGCCACGATGCATAGAGTACCATGTGAGCACGTACAGCGCACGTTCATAGCAGCATAGTTTGAGTGGTAGCACGAAGCAGCCGCTCGCACCCATTAATCTGCATTATTACTATAATGCTACATACACACACGGCACACACACACACACAGCACACACACACAGCACACACACACACGGCACACACACACACACACAGTACACACACACACACAGCACACACACACACAAACACACACACACGCACAGCACAGCACACACACACAGCACACGCAGCACACACACAGCACACACAGCACACGCAGCACACACACAGCACACGCAGCACACGCACAGCACACGCACCCGCAGCTCACGCACAGCTCACGCAAACGCAGTACACGCAGTACACGCACAGCACACGCACACGCAGCACACACACAGCACACGCAGCACACGCACAGCACACGCACACGCATAGCACACACACACACACACGCAGCACATGCACAGCACACGCACACGCAGCACACGCACAGCACACACACCCGTAGCTTACGCACAGCACACGCACGCGCAGCACACGCACAGCACACCCACACGCAACACACGCACACACGCAGCACACAAACACACACGCAGCACACACACACACACACACGCAGCAGACACACACAAAGCACACACACACACAGCACACACACACACACACACACACACACACACACACAGCAGCTTGCGGTATGGATGGCGCTGGCCAGCGAAGTAAGAGGCTACGGAGAGAGCAGGATCTTGGCAGAGCCAAGAGTATAGTGACTAAGTCACATGCGAGGGACGAAGACCGAGAGCTCTGAGTAGCCGGAAATGAGCGTGACCAACACTCCTTTAATAACTTTAGCAAAGTAAATGAGAGATGAGAAATGGGAGGTGGGTGGGTGAAACACAATGATCTGACAAGAGTGATCCACACACAGAACGGATCGAAATATATAACTAGGCAAACTTCAGCATGCCACGATGAGTGCCAACGACGCATGCCTGGTGGATCGGTTGCATCGTCCAACACTGGGAAATGTTTCTTTCACCAATCCATTTCGTCTCCAAAGTCGTTTGAATTGATCCATTCACTCACATCGGTATCGTCCAAATTGGCTATTTTTATGTGTCCGTGATCCCGTTGTTCCAATGTGGGAACATACCACTAACCCAGCTATCCTTAGTCCGAATATAAGAATATTTTGACACGTAGGTAACACAAGCAAAATACACTTGTGTGGAAAGTTTCGTAATGAGATGACAATTCCTTGAGGGATCGGGATGATTTGATTGTTGAAATTTGAATTGTCTCCGCACTTAAACAAGCCGACATTCCACAACACGCACTGATAATACACTGTAGCTAGTCTTCCAGTTTTGTTTTCTGTTGTTGGTACTCACTCCCGGGCTTGTTACAGTGCAGCCTTGGGTGTCTTGGTGGCCTTTGAGTGGCAACATCAGGTGCTGCCCCTCACCCACCTTCCCAAACTCTGGGCCAAATCGCGGCTATGAAATCAGCCTTGGTCAGTCCAAAAAGCCAACCAGAGCAAGAAGAAAACTCTATGAAGTAGGTAGCTCTGGCCCTTTTATGAATCTGACTTCCACCCACTGTGAACCATAACACTGAATAGGCTATTTGCAAAAGGACTGAGAAAATAACCTAACTACATGCTTTTGCACGGTACAACTATTCCCTCCAGTGCCCGGGCTGGCAAGGCCACCAGCAACGGTCTTGGTATAGACCACACGGGAAAATCACCAACTTCAGTGACAGAAAGTGGGTGCTATTATGTGGTGCCAACAGTTCCCGGTGAAATCATGGACACTTGACTGACTCACGGTAGCGTTTTGACATAGAAATAGAAACTAGTTTGTTATTATGGAAGTATACAGCCTGAGTGGTAACTGTTTGGCCGGTAGAGTCTAAATTGCTCAAAACTGCTGTATCTAACTGTGTTGAAAGAGGAGAGCCAGAACACATGGATATCTGTGTGCTTTTTCGGCCTTGGGTGTGCCTGGAACATGGAACAAGACTTTTCATGATTCTTTTCAATCAATGTGAAGCATCTGTAACATTTTTTACTGATTTCAATTCGGTTCAAAGCATGCTAACATGCAAAGTACAGAAAAGCAACAACAACGCCTTACACATACATGCATCCAGTAACGTCTAGCAACATGGGTACTTTCCCCTAGTCTTCATGCATAATCTGTACGTGTGTGTGTGTTTGTGTTTGTGTGTGCATGTGTGTATGTATTCATGTGTGTGCACGCATGTGTGTCTGTGTTTTCTGTGTATGGGTTCGTGCATGTGTGTGTTTGCGTGTGTGCGCGTGTGTGTGCATGTGTGTGCGTGCGTGCGTGTGTGTGCACGTGTGTGTGTGTGTGTGTGTGTGTGTGTGTGTGCACGCTCGTGTGTACTCGTGTGCTCGTGTGTGAACGTCAACATTCTATCCCCATGATAATGTACAGCCCGGCAGAATCGTATCACTGTCACTCCTACAACAATGGTTTTCAACTACACTGATCAGAGATATGATATACCATGTAACACTGTGGGTTCATCAGGTATGAACGTCACTTGGACATCCACTTTAGATCTTAAAACAAAGATGGTGAACACAGTGAATGGAACATCTCAAAATGGACTGTTGGAATACGTGAACTCTACTTTCAGTTTCATGGGAAATGATTCCAGTATAATGCTTACCAGAGATAACCCAGCTGGTGTGAGGTTCAATGTGACATGCACTACAGCATACAGGACCAGTTATATTTGTAGATTTGTAGATACTTCTGGAAGTGCAAGGCAGCCACCCCAGGATGCACTGGACCGATGTGATGGAGCAGTCGAGTCTTTGTCGACAACGTACTCCATCATCATTCAAGGTAAGATTCATAACCAGCAAAATGAACAGGTTAATGCAACTAGTTGTAGAGTCCTCTACTTGAGTTACTGAATCCATGGACAAACATTGTGGATGCTTAGAATTCTAGCATTGCTATCATGATGTCCATTGAAATATTTTTAAAAGTCAACAGACAACTATTCTACTGTCGTGGACATGGAAATCCGGTCGCAAGTCTAGCGGCCCCAGAGCACTGGCCATGCAGCCGTGGGTAAGGGCGCGTTCAGACTGGCGTAAAAAACAAGCGGAATGTGAAAGTTGTCAAGGTGAATCGCCCACGTGACGTTCCCGCCAGCGTAAACACGGAAAAGGTTTCCCACCACTCTGCAGGCCAGTGGAATGCAGATTCCGGCGGCACGCGGAGCGCTTTTGATATCCTTGCAGCACATGTTTCGTCTTTTCGTTTTATTTCAGCCTCTACTCTTGCAGTCTGACTGCATGCTTTTGAGTTTTGACTTCTAGACTGCCAACTAATTACTTCTCCCATCATGCCGAAATCTTTGTTCGACTCAGCAATGGAGAGGGAGTTCATGGAGCTCTACGTGGTGATTTTTGCGGGCCGCTCTGCAGGCAAAACGTTACTGCGAACGAGAAGCATACTCTGATCACGGAGCGGATGAATGCCACCCAAGCACCAAACACTCCGGACATAGTATTCTTTCCGTCGACAAGCACAAGCAAAAGCACAATGATCCAGCATCTCAACAGACTGAATTAGTTTATTTTGATATCCAACTCAACTCAAATTTTTCAAATGTCGAAGCTTCACATGTACTGGCCATTCCAGCGGAATACATGTGCAGTGTGATTGCGATTCCCGGGATTACGCTGCAGCTTTCCGGCGGCTATTCACGCCAGTCTGAACGCGCCCTAAGCAGTACACACACACACACATACACACACACACACACACACACACACACACACACGCGCGCTCGCGCGCACATACACACACACACACACGCTGCAGAGCGCTGGTTGCATCGGATCAACATGACCGTGCACTGCATGCAACTAACTACTTCTGTAGCTGCTGAGTGAGGGCGCCGGCCTCGGTCAATCCACTGGATTTCCATGTCCACGACAGTAGTTTGTTTGATAAAACTAGGGAAAAGCGGACTTGAGACATATTATTATTTCAATGGGGCCTTCCACATGGGGTTGCAAGAAACTAATAAAGAACACCACCATCGGGCAAAGTTATGGCCAAAAGAGACATTGTCATTATTTGAGATTATCGCTCTCCAGGAGACCCTCGCCACACAATTCCAGGAAAACATTTGTAAGACAATCCTGAGGGAGACTTTTAGCCAGTTGGTGTTGGAAACATGGATGAGTCCCCTTTCTGGTTTGACTTTCCAAGCAGCGACACGTACGACTTGCAGGGTTTCAAAACAATTCGCATGCATATCACTCGCCATGAGAAACTTCGGTTGTCTGTTGTACTGACCACTTTGGCCAATGGGACCAAGTTGATTCCAATGCTGATCATTCAGAATATCAAGAATATCTGGAAAGGAAATTTCCCGAAGGACTGTCATTTGGCAGTCTTGAAGCGTGGCTAGTGATCTAATAAAGCAAAGGATGGACAATGTGTAGCAGGGGTACTCCGGGAAGTATCCCACAAGCCGACTCTCCTTGTTTACTACCAGCACTGGAGCAACACTCATGCCGATACCGTGTCAGCTCTGCTGAGGCACCCTGCAACACAATCTATCTTTATTCCGGCCGGTACGACTTCTTTGCTTCAACCCTGTGATAGAAATTTAGAGGCCACATGCCTTGTACTGCTCTTTTTCTCTCTGAAACTCTACACTTGCAAGTCAGATACGAAAGAAAGAAAGAAAGCGAAGTCCAAATTTCAATCCTGTAAGGGGCCTTCCGTAAATACCGATATTTATTTAGAAACTAGTCGTTTCTCTTCAACCCCGCCCCCCCCCTCCCCTCTCTGAGAAATGAACACATACAAATGGTACATATTATCAATATTTTTTGTCTTTTTTCTGGACATGCTCATGCATGCAAAATCGATATTTTTCGAGAAACGAACAAGCGCTCAACCCCCCCCCCCCCCAAAAACGGATAGTTTTCGTTTCTAAATAAGTATCTTTATTTACGGATGGGCCCTAATGCTAAAGTAATTCCCCCTCCACCAGTCCAATCTGCTGCTGTTGCTTAACCTTGAGAAACTGTGATGCTTGTTGGAACAAACTGCTTAAGAGTGAAGTGCGTGAATCATGGAACCAAAGGCTTGTGCCAGGTGAGAAGGAATTCACCAGAACTGGCAAGCGAAAGCTAGCGCCTTACGATACAGTGGCAAAGTTGGTGGTGGATGCATGGGCAGACATTCCGGCGAGATGATCACAAAGTCATTCGTCAAATGTGGATTGATTACTGATGAGTGTCCAGAACAGCCAGAATCGCCCCTGCAGAAACTCATCGATGACAGAGAAATGCCCGAGGAAGAAGTGGTCAGCGGAGAGGAGAGTGAGTATAGCAGCGATAACTCTGACAGCGATAACTCTGACAGCGATAACTCTGACAGCGATATCTCTGACAGTGATATCTCTGACAGCGATATCTCTGACAGCGATATCTCTGACAGCGATATCTCTGACAGCGATATCTCTGACAGCGATAACTCTGACAGCGATATCTCTGACAGCGTTATCTCTGACAGTGATATCTCTGACAGCGATATCTCTGACAGCGATATCTCTGACAGCGATATCTCTGACAGCGATAACTCTGACAGCGATATCTCTGACAGCGATATCTCTGACAGTGATGGCTCTGACAGTGATATCTCTGACAGCGATATCTCTGACAGCGATATCTCTGACAGCGATAACTCTGACAGCGATATCTCTGACAGCGATATCTCTGACAGTGATGGCTCTGACAGCGATATCTCTGCACACGGTGACGACAGTGGTACTCACTCTGAAGCTGAAAAATGCGGAACCTCTGACGAAGATGATTACAGCGTGGCCAGTCCAGATAAAGTTCTGGTGCTCAGTGACAGAGAACTCTAATTTCGGGGTACTTCTGGTGACAGTGCTCCGATAGTGATCTCTCTTGTTGTTGATTGAAAGTGAGCGATACTCTTTTAAATGGTGAACCTATTGTGTGCAAGGTGGCATGCCAAAAATAGACTCGTGTGGTTGTGCCTTGGCGGTATGACATGTGACATGTGACATGTGACAGTGGAGATAGGTTCATGCAGAGAGAACCACCACTACATTGAGCTCATTAAAAGAACTAAACTCAACCTTAACACCACATGCAACATCCTCCACATTGAATTGTTTTCACTACTAACGCCATGGCTTTATTACGTGAGGGTGACTTGTGTGACTTATATTCGGATATAACTCCATGGTTTTCTAAAGTGAGGGTGGATATAACGCCTTGGCCTTACATGTGTGGAAATAACGTTATACCGTTATACCGTTATACCGATATACGGTATGTACAATTACATATACCCTGGTGTAAATGTCACCAGCCTGTGTGTTTTCTGGTATCCTGTCTATATGCGTGGTCTTGGAGCTCTGCCAGTGTGTACTGCATTCCAGGCTTGGCTGGTTAGAATCAGGGCATGGAGAGGAGTGAAAACTTGTGAAATGTACATGTATACTAGTATACATGTATACTAGTACATGTATACTTGTACATGTATAGAGGACTTTCCAATGAGTCATACCGTGCGGCCTATGAGGATTCGGGCCAAAGATCATCGAGTTCACCACCGATCACCGGACTTGAAACGGAGCTTGGGTGGCAAAAAAAGAAGACTGCACTGGAAAGAAACAGTGTTTTTCGAAAGAAGTTCCATTTTGCATACTGTAGTTTGAGAATACCAAAGGGCTGCTCGCGATCGGATGTTCCCACACCTGGATCGTCTTTGAGTTGTTATCGTTTTCCCTACGATGGAGAACGACGGAACCAGCGGATGACGGACACACGACTCGAGAACTTCGCTCCTTATGCAAATACTTCGAAGTACACGAATATTGTTCCATCACTTCGTTGGCGAAGAGAAAAGTCATATCATCCCTGTCACCCCAGTACGTATCGAATTAACTAACTAACTTGTTCAGCTCATTTGTGGCAGCACCAGTAAAGGCGGAAACACGAAGATGATTCCGAACACTATCAACTTACTTAGTTTGTTGGGGTGCAAGGTATAGCTGGAGTTTGATGATTGATAGTGCTGATGCTGATGGTAATGACTAATGTACCCAGCTCTATTATGCACGTGCCTCTACATGACTGGTGGTGCTAGCTATAGTCTAGTACTGGCCCTGGGTGCAACTCCGGCATTATCTCTTCCATGCGAGTGTGTATGCTTCATGTTCTGCACAATGTGTATTTCCTTTGTCATGGATAAAATAATACCGGTACTCTGATCGACCGACTTGCGCAATCTTCTTCTGCTTCCCACTTGGTTGCTGCGCTGTGCAGTTCTTCATCTGCTGCGGCACATACTAGTATACCTCATCTTCTGTCTTTCTGGACAATTAGGTACATGTATTCAGCTTCTTGATCTTCTTGTGGTGAGGATCATCTTGATCTTACTTCTTGTGTAACTCTTGCAAAGGCAGTAATGGAGGACACTCTACCGGTAATCAGCAACTGCTTATGGAGAATGCCAGGTCGAGGGACGACCAGGAAAAAACAATTGCTGTATTGGATGTGCATTCATCAGCGTGTTTTAGGATCAGGACAACTAAGTTCGCCACTACACCAACTTTTTGGCTACATAGGACCAATGATGATGATGGCCGTGTTTGACTTTGTCAGCTTTCGTGCTACCAGCCACCGCATGTCAACATTGTCATACTCGTACTGAGAAGGAAGAAAAACCCACACACGCACGCACACACACGCACACACACACACATGGATACACTGACAGGCATGCAAAGCAAGAGAGACAGAGAGAGAGTCAGGCAGCGAAAAAGAAGTGAGACTACT